CTGCTGCTGCTGCTGCTGCTGCTGCTGCTGCTGCTGCTGCTGGTGCTGCAAGTACAACTGCTGCTGCAACTGCTGCTGCAGTTCTTGTCGCCTCAGCATCTGCTGCTGTTGCAGGTGCTGCTGTCTTCTTTGCTGCACCAGCTGCTGCTGGTGAATATCCTGCTGCACATACTGCTGCTGCTGCTGCTGCTGCTGCTGCTGCTGCTGCTGCTGCTGCTGCTGAATGTATGCAATGTCTGTGTAAGTGCTGCTGGGCTCCAACTGCCACTGCTGGCTGTCTGCTCTGTCTGTGTCTGCAACAGCAGCAGCAGAGGAAGGAGCAGCAGCAGCAGAGGACGGAGCAGCAGCAGCAGAAGAAGCAGCAGCAGCAACAGAAGAAGCAGCAGCAGCAGCAGAAGAAGCAGCAGATGGTATGTCTGCTTCATACACCCTGGGTGCAGCAGAAGCAGCAGAGAATTGTGGGGTTGGTGGTGGCAGCAGCAGCTCAGCAGGGGATCCGTCTCCTGCTCCTGCTGCTGCTGCTGCTGCTGCTGCTGCTGCTGCTGCAGTATCTCTTTGCTGCGAGGAGGCCCAAGAAGGCTGTTCGTATAGCTGCTGCAGTCCTCTGCTTCTGCTGCTGCTGCTGCTGCTGCTGTAGTAGTTGTTTCTGCTGCTGTTGCTGCGGAAGTGCTGCGCTTCGTGCTGCAGCAGTCCTGGTGCTGCAGCAGCAAAATGATTATATGTATCTGCTGCTGCTGCTGCTGCTGCTGCTGCTGTTGTATCACCAGCAGCAAACTGCTGCTGCGTGCTGCTGCGCCTTTCATACCCTAGGGGAGACGTTGCCCTCCATACAGCTGGAGAGCTTCCTCTCTCGCTAGCTGGTCTTGCTGCTGCTGCTGCTGCTGCTGCTGCTGTTGCTGTTGCTGCTGCTGCTGCATCTCTAGATAGAAAGCTATGGCCTGAAGCGGAGGGCAGCAGCAGCACAGGTTGCTCTTGCTGCTGCTGCTGCTGCTGCAGCAGCTGCTGCTGCTGCTCTTCCTCCTTCTGCAGCCCCCCTTTCCCCTGCCCCTGCTGCTGCTGCTGCTGCTGCTGCTGCTGCTGTTGTATTTGCTGCTGCAGCAGATGAAAGTCTAGAAGCTCCTGATACAGCTGAGCCCCGTGCAGCAGCACGTCAGCAGCAGAATGCAGCTGCTGCACCTCCCCCCTAACAGCAATTTGTATTTTTGCTGCTGCAACAAACTGCAGCATCTGCAGCGCCTTATGAGCAGACACAGATGTGCTGCTTATGCTGCTGCTGCTGCTGCTGCTGCTGCTGCTGCTGCTGCTGCTGCTGCTAGAGGTAAATACAGCCATCGTTGGTGTTGGGCCCCATCGCTGACTCCATCTTTCATCTTCTGCTGCTGTTGCTGCTGCTGTTGCTGCTGCTGCTGCTGCTGCTGCAGAAGCAAACCGCTGCTGCCTGTTGCTGTTGTTGTTGCTGCTGCTGCTGCTGCTGCGAAAGCTGCTGTAGTATGCTGCTGTATCACCGCCTCGGGGGGGGCCCCCAGGGTACTGGCGTTGGGGGGGGGCCCCCCGCGGCGACCCCATAGAAGAGTAAAACGAAGCATGATGAAGCTCAGCCTGCAGCAGCAGCAGCAGCAGCAAGCTGCTTGCGGCCCTCAGAGGGGGGATACAAAGGAACAGCCAGAGCTAACGAAGAAGAAATATCAGCAGCATCAGAGCTGCTGCAGCAGGAGCCGCGGCAGCTGCTGCTGCTGCTGCACCTGCTGCTGCTGCTGC